CGCGCCCGTCGTCACTTTGACATCGACCACAACTTTTACGGAAACTTAGGCGAAATTACGACGAAAAGGAAAAACAATGAAATCATTGTCAGTGAAACGAGAGTAGACAAGAGAGCGGGCGCTACATCGAAGCTTCTCCGAAAGAAATACGGGAAATACAGAATATCAATCTCAAACTTTGTCTCCCTGCTGACGACTGACTTACACTACGGAATAGATTTGCGTCTCGACAAACGAATTAATAAATAATTAAACTAACTACTGTAGTGTCTTTGCATATGTATATGTGTGTATGATCGTCGCGAGCGTTCGATACCACGACTCTTAAGAGCGTCTTCGTTCTTTTTCATTTCTCTTCATTTTTTCGGCAACAACATTTTTCAAATCGACATTAAAAATGATATCGAAAACGTGCGACGATCGTCGAACAATAATGATAATAATAATCAATGGCATATAATATATGGAGGAATATGCTGGAGGCTGTGCTTGATCGATAACAGAGATACATGTCTCGCACAGGGCTAATGATACTTAGTGATGAAGACGAGCTTTTCAATTATTACGTAAGATATATTTGCTACTAAGCTACGTATACGCTAGCCGCCGAGACGAAATCCGATCTTCGAAAACGTCTCTCTCGTTATGTCACGAACGCACAATCCACATTTCTTTTCCTCTTCTCCTTTCCCATTCTCTTCGAGGAAAGGGGCGGGGGGGCAGTCCCCACGGAAATATAATCGACGTTCATGTCGCGTCTCTCGCGACGAACAAGATTTTTCGAAGAGCGGATCTCACCCCTGGTCATCACCTGTCATCACGCTGTCACGATACACGACACGTATGTGAAGGTCGATCGACCCGACTCAATATTTTCGTTCCAGTTTTCGTAATACGTGTATAATATATATTGTTGACTGTCGGTCTCTTAAGGACACCATTTCTAAAGCGTGTCGTAATATAATCAATTCGATATCTTGACAAACTAAATAGAAGGGAAGAAAATTGACGTAGCGAATAGCAATAGGTCGAAAGCCGATCACAAGATTCGGTGTCGACTACTACTTATCACGTTTCATAATGCCTTATGAAATTAACGAACTCACTGTTCTCTCTCTCTCTCTCTCTCTCTTTCTTTCTTTCTTTCTCTCACCGATTCACTCATCTCCAATAAATATCGTTTAATATGCCAGAGGAAAATATTTACATCGTCTTGTAGAGAAAAGAGTATTTACAGTGTGTGAGAATCATATAAAAGAATAATGCTTCTCTCTATCATGCTCATCACGTACGAAAAACTCAACGCGTGGAAGTAGTAAGGCGGTGCGATAGAATCAACATAAAGTCGTTCTTATTTTGTTGCGGAAGATACATGAGTATTTTTCTTCTTTTTGGAAGACCCCATTTTTTGATTTTTCCAAATATTGTCATGAGGCAAATCGCACTGATTCGCCGTCCGGTCAGCATCGTGTAACAAAGTAATTCACAATGTGGGATCTGCGATTTACAAGGTAGAAAAATTATGAGAAATCGCGAAAAAGAATTTGTTTTATAAAGTTACACATCGAGGTGACATCGCGTTGATTTTAGTCTGTAATAAAAATGTAATCACAATTTAGATGTTTATCGCATTAGATGTTTAGATGTTTATTGCATTGGTATCTCACGCAAGTTTTAATCAATATTTTTTAATTTTGCAATTAGTTATATCTATCGATCGTATAAATGATCAACACAATATTCTTTTATAAAATTTTATAAAAAAAATCTATCATTGAAATCATGATAAAAGTTGTTTGTTATATCATGCACCGTATAATATTGTACAGAGTAAGAGACTCTTGGTTTAATTTTTTTTTTTGTTGACTTTATGAGAGCTTTCACAAAATGCAACGAGATAGCGAGCCAGGGAAATTAATTACTCGCGAGTTACACGCGAGGAAATTATTCTTTGGAATTTATCGCTTGTTCTCACTTTTCAGAACTACGAATTCCGGAGTTAAAGTTACAATTTCGCACGAATATTTATAAAATTGTAAAAATAAGTGGATACACTTGTGAACGTTTATACCGCGTTATATTATTTAACTTAGATTCAAGGAATAATCTAGAAATCGTAGTTGTAATTACAGTTGTAATTACAATGATTGTGTTGTGAGCATTATCAGAACTCTCATTGCTTCAATTAAGTGATATGCATGACTCTCTTTTATTCCGTTAACTAAAATCTCGCTCCGAAATCTGCGATGCATCTGTCTTCCGATAGCTATCAATATGCGAAATGCTAAATTGTAAATATTTAATGAGATATCCAATATATAAATATTCATGGACATTTACGTCCATCAATGTATTAATTGTCATAACAGTTCGTGCCGCTTTAATCGGCAATTATATTATTAAGACACATCTTGTATAACAGAATGACAGCAATCACTGGTACATCGATTAATGGGTCGCTTAAAAAAAAAATATGATCCACGAAACGAATAATTTCGAAAAATGATCGTTCTGTGTAAAAGGGATATTTAGATGTACGCAATATATTTTTTTCAAGAAACAACGAAAATTTAACAGCGAATAAAATATTGCATGCCTTTGAAGTATCCTTGTTTTTCTTATTAGTTCATTAACACACGGAGTACTTGTTGTTACCGAGATAATTGTACGAAAGGAACGAAGCGGCGCAATGTCGGCTCGTTGGCAAAGCGTCGCTTAACAAAACGATTCCGTGACACTTTTTCGCCCTGTACGAAAAATCGAGAAACTAAACGTCCCATGAGAAATCTATATCTACGTTCTAGCGCACGCTCGGCTTTTTCGCCTTTATTATCATACAACCGTTATATACGCATAAAAGTAGATATATGTTTAGTATATATATATATATATATATATATATATATATATATATGTATATAGATTGATTTTTTTTATAATATATATAGCTATTTTTATATATATATATATATATATATATTTGTTTTTATTAAATATAATTGCGTGTACGTAATGTATATGTGTTAATGTTCGTGTATATTTGTGTATGTGTGTGTATATAATATATATTGGAAGAACAAGACGCCGGCCACGACGCGCGTGCTCGGCTTTAAAAAAGCGCTATGAAAAACGCGTGGGTCCCATTTCGAAAAAGTCTCTCGAAAAGTAAAAGAGCAGTCATGGTGCACGCTCTCGTGTTATACGACGCCGCACAATCGTGTTCGATGCTCTTTCTTTTCTTTTCTTGCTTTATTGTCGTATTGCGACAATATGTCTTCGTCGGTCTCGCGGCCTCCTAGCCGAAGCATTTTCGTATATGTTTTGTTGGAGTGAAATGCAAAAAAGATTCTTGATTCGCGCATCGTTCTTACAGGGTGACTCGTGGTTAAATGAAATTTAAAGATTTTTGTCGCGTTCGATCAAAAGCCTCGGTACAAATTTTATCATTGATTATAAATTAATGCGTTAATAATACTGTCGAGTCTTTTTGATTTTTGAGAAATTTTTATTCAACTGGTCGTTGAAAACATTATACGATCGAGTATAATCGTGTATGAGAGCATAATATTATTCGATATGCGAGAATTATGAATAAAATCATCTTCTTGGAAGAGAGCGAATGTTTTCAAATTGAACTGCGCCCGATTTACACATCACCCATGTAAAAATCGATGTGTGAGTGCACCACGTCTTTCACGCGAGACTTTAAAATTGATTTTTTTTTTTTTCAACAATCTCACTTGCTGGTAAATGTGTCAGTACTGATGATGATGAGAATGATGGTGATGAAAGATGATTGGTGACAGTGGTGTTGGATGACAGCAATAACGATGAACCATTACAGATATTTAATGATATATATTTGTTTAAATCACACATGCGATTACGTAAGGCCTCACTGCCTCTTATGACACGACCGTCTCGCATCGCGATAGGATGCATCAATCATGACACGTTTCATATATTCATACACAGACCCTCTTAAGCAGATCGTAAATATTCGTAACGTATGAAGTATTCGAAATCTCGTAACTATGGAAATTTAAAAAATAACGCAAAAGACAGAAAAAAATTGTTGTCACCGAGAATAAATATTATTTTATCTAAATTTACTTTCAGAGATACTTTTTCTTCCCTAGAAAATATTTTCTAATTTTATTTTCGGAACTTTGAATGCAGTATGGCACAGATTCCCATTGAAAATCCATCGCGAACCCGAGACGGCCGCCCAGAAATATGTTAGTATATACAAATCGTTACACATGCACGGTGCGTCCTCGTTGTAGCCTCGATACAGGCGTTTTCCTATCAACGAGTAGCCCCGACACGACAGTATTTTATAATAGTAGACTAACGCCGTGGGAACGATACGTTTCCATCGACTGTCGTATGAATCACAAAATTGTCAAACATCCCGGCGTATCCTACATCAAAGTGCGATAAATAGTGCGGGAAAAAAAAACGTAACATTCCATTTTGACATATATATATATATATATATATAATACCGGGTTTTACTACTGAACCACCATAGACTACTGAAAATTCTACTTGCGCGATTTTTGAATTTGAATCGTATGTTGCCTTCTCTTTTTTTCTTCAAGCGATTTCCCTGATGTCTCCGTCTTCTTGAAATCACGATCGAAACGCGATCGTCTCCACGCTGAGTATCAGTCAATAACGTAATGTCCAGAATCGGAATCGAGGAAGTCTCGGAACCGACATGTTTCGTCGAATCAACAACACCGTCTCTTACGGTTTTTCGCTTTGAGATCTTTGTATATCTATCACAATGTGTCTCTTTGGTAAGTAGGTTTCTCACGCGGGAAACTTCCCTCGAGAAAATCCCGATTTCCCCCGAGTCGTTTCCCGCGATCGCGAACCCGACGACTTTCGAGACCGACTCTGTCCAGAGATTAACTCCAAAAGTCGCAATTATGCACATAACTACGCCTACACCATCGACGAGTCTCTATCGCTAATACTACGAGCGACATTTACTATACAATACGTGATACGTCTTCTCTTCGTATTAACAGCGAGGAGTAAAGGTACACTGGAAACGATATTGTTATTCGAATAACACCAATGCTCGCTATATAAAGAGGCATCGCATCCGTCCCTACAACCTTCGGGAGTACAATGGCGCTTTCGCATCGCGAAAAACGCTAAAAGATCCGATCGGGAATACAACGTATATTAATACTAGAAGCGATTATTCTCAATTTTTTTTAAATTAATATTCTTTTTCAAAAATAGGATTTAAAAACTTTCTGATTGCAAGAAAGTTCCATTGGAACAAAGAAAATAACTGATGGAAGTTAACAAGTCGAAATTGCAGTATTAATATGAAGAGAGATTAATTTAAAAAAAATAGAAATGGTTAGAAATGACCACTCGGCGCTTCCAGCATTAGGAAAATTGCGATTCTCTATTTCTGTAAAAGTAAACACCAGATATACAATTTTATTGTGAACGATACGAGAGATATGTTCGAGTATCTGGCGTACGTATGCTCGCGCACGATTGCGTATGTAATTACACTGATGTAAAAGTGTGCTTTCAGCAAATTGATAACGCCAAAGGTTCTACGTGAAACTCGGAGCGTAAAATGCCTGCGGCGACGCCTGTCGCGTTCTGACGGATGCGATGCTTTCAATACTCCAAACACATTAGTTTCGTAATGTTCGAGAACGGTGTCTTCCAAACTATTTCCAAAACTGAGAGTCAAAGTCAAACACGAATCATAGATGGTAATTCGACCATGAATTACATCTCGTATCTCGGGACAATTAAAGCATTTGAAATTGAAACCTCCGCGCTCGCGCTTGTAGGGAGAAAAAAAGACTTATTTTTCTCCGGTGAATATGGAGTCTGTATTTTTTTTAAATTATATATTCGATATAAGAGCTCCGCAACTCGAGTTCGATCGCGGGAAAAATCACTTTTCGATTGAAAAACACCGGCTCGACGTAAGCCTAGGTAAGATCTACAAGGGCAAATATCGAAGTAAGAAACAAAAGAAAAAATAAGGGGAGGGGAGAAGAAAAAAAGTGAAAAATAGTCTTACCTGGTTCCGCCGTGTTGCACCGTCCCTCGGAACAGCCGCCTCGGTTCGCCAGCCTTGTTCTCGCGTTCTCTCTAGCAATCGACACTCAATTCTACTGCCTATAGAAATTAATATGCGTCTAAATCGCGAGCGTCCCAGGGGGTCTTCCCATCCATTTCTTTCTTTCGTTACACGTGAAGAGTAAGATGGGCATAGAGATCGGATTAAGGCACTCGGGTTATGTCGAATCGATCGTTACGATCGAGAAATGGGGGATTTCGGAGAATGATGGGGGGAGGGAGATGAGGATGATCGCACGGAGAAAGCGCCTGGAAAGGAGCGCGGAGTGCGAAAGGGAAGGGGTGGTGTATATACTTCGTTTATTCTTTGGGCACACCCCCGAAAAATCATACGAGGGATAGGAGGAGGGGAAAAGGGCCGATCGTGAAGGAGGGAGGGAGGGAGAGAGGAGAGGGTTAATAGCCACCTCCTCGATTCTTCGAGCGTACCTTTTCGGCGAATAGAGGATCCTTTTTTTTCTCTCTTTCTTTCGTTCTTTTTTTTTTTCTTCGGGGATGAAGAAGCGAGTCCGGGATTGGTGAGGGATGAGCGTACGGGTAAAGCAATCGCTTTAGTTACGCTTTAATCCTCGGCTCGCTGCCTTCGGCTCGCTTTTTATTGCTTCTACAACGTCTGCCGGAAGAGATAGACTCACTCTACTATCACATTTAGCGAGGAATATTCTTAGCTCTCGTGTATCCGTACACCTGCCCCCCCCTCCCCCTCCCCCCCCCTCCGTGTACGCGGGGGAAAAAGTGACAAAGAGTATAGGCGCGTATATCATCCGCGTTACCGACATGGATGGTAAAAAATTCGCTACGATCTATTTTAGAGTTACCCCGATTCAGCTAATTACTCTCGCGCGTTCTCTTTCTTTCTTTCTTCACTATAGTTGCTCTACTTACGATTAACAAGATTGACGAGATCGCGTCACGACGTACGCGTGAGATCACTCTTTTTTTCGAAGGCAAGACGGCACACGCATATATATATATATATATATATGTGTGTTACGTCCTTTGACATAAACCGTGTCTTTGATATTGGTCACACACCGGGAAGACACGAGTATTCGCGTGAAGGGCACAATGAAAAGGAAATGCAGCCCCTTCGCGGAGCAGATTGGTTTCCCCTTGCATTTTCGGGAAACGGGTTCTCTCTGCCTTTTCTAAAACGATACTCGGGACTCGGGAGTTCTTTCTCCGTGCTGTGGTGTAACCAACACGCTCGTATCGGTAAAAACGCGTTTTACCGCTGGGCGGATTCATCATCCTCTCGTCGGGATATGAATCATTTATATCCGCTGTTCTTCTCGCGATTTCGCCGTTAGAAGGATTACTATTGTAGTACCCGGCGTAAACGGCCGCGTGAAAAGGAAAAAGTCTTTGCCATACATTATTCTTCCCGCAAACGCGATAAATCCTTTACGGGAATTTACACGTAAGAAATAAATTTTCAAAGAAATGTATTAAAACGTGGCGAAATACTTTTGTTGAATATTGCGAGGAAGAAAAGGGCGCTCATCGATAAAAACGCTTTCGCTGATCGAGTGTAGGTAGGTAGAAATCGGTTGGTTTTTCAGGTTGGGATATGAGGGATGATTTCGTTTTCACACGACGAAAAATACGCCTACGCGCCTCCAAAAGCTAGTAGAACACACATCTACTTCGATATAAAGTAGCAAGAATGTACGCGCGTCGTCCGGCTATGGATATGTATTATCCGCACTTATTAAAGGATATTGGATGCGCGTTTAGGGGGCGAAAATAGGGGAGTGAAAAAAGAGATACGAAAACTAGGACGCGGGACAATGTGTGTGTGTGAGGAACGCGTATAGCTGCTGGTATAAAATCGAATTATTACTATATTTTTCTACGCGCTTATATCAAATGTATAAAAATAAGAGCAGTAGGATTACGCAATCGTTACTATCGTTATTTTTATAACGAAAACAGGTTTATTAATTTATCTCGCTCGCTTTTATCTAAAATTTCAATTTCGTGCTCATTACGCATTCATTTATCCGTCTGATTTATTTTGAGTTGAAATTTCATTAGCACTTTATTCTTGGTTTTTATACATTTATGGATTTAATTCATTCTTGCAGAAATAATCATTGACATAAATATTAATATATTATCTGTACTGAGTTACTGCATGTTACAAAAAAATATGAATTTTATTATCTATTTCTATTAAAACCTTGCAAGATTTAAATAAACTGACAATATACCTCGTCACAGCTATATCGTTTCTCAGAAAGGGGAGACATTTTTTTTTTCTCTTAATTTTAATATCAATTTTGCGGAAGATTGAAGTGAGCAAGTGTCACCTGCGTTATTTTAACGTAGAAGTAAATGGGAAAATGAACGACGAAGGGGGGGAGTGTCAATTAAATACGTCGAGATATACTCTTACTTGCCGGTTAGAGTGCGCCAGAGGTGGTCTAGCTAAAGATGCATGCGCTACAACAAATTCGCCGACTGTTTTAAACCATTTAAAAGCGTCAGGGGTGATAGGGGGAACAGGAAGACATAATATCATCAAGATGGCTATCTAGAGAAAAAATGCGCGCTATTCTCTGGTTGGCCGAAACGGACATGGAAAGAATTTTAAATTCCTTCATTCTCTCTCTTTAATCGCTGTGATGCACTCGTAATCAATAGTGGTTTCATCATCACAACCGAGGTATAAATTTTTTTAAGCGACTTGAAACTATTTTCGGAAATAAGGTATTTTTAATATTTAAATAATTCCATTATACTAAAAATAACGAATTAAACTTCAGGAGAAAAAAATTACGTGACAAAATCATATGCGCTTAATTTCACGTGAATTTTAATTCGGAACTTAGTTACGAGGATATATAATTTTGAAAATTGAAGAGATGCGAAAGTGACGATTCGACGTCCGAGGAAGAAGAAGTCTTGAGAGACATCCAGGATTTTGGGACATGCTGTATAGCGTGCACGTCAATAATCCTCTTTACACACGAAACAGCAAATAGAGCAACAAGTGATATCGAAGTTGAAAGTCGGCTGACGTTACCGAAGCAAATGTAATATTCTTCTTTACGAGATCCGCGCGGGTTTTTGATTTTTCCTCGTATATCCGAGAAGTACAAACTCTCCAAGAGGAGAAGTCATGCTCGAAAATCCGAAATATCCTCGAAGGTAGTCCAATACTCTCAAAGGTATAACGCCGCGAAGTAATAAATTCAGCAGCGCGATTGAATGAATTTTACATCCCCACTAGGGATCGTACAAATTTATATTCCTTTGGCGGATCGATCGCATAATCGCTAGATAATCGAAACTTGAAAATACAAAATATAGCACAAAATTTCACAAATTAGCACAAATTATTAGAAAAATTTTATTTTAGTGAAAATTGTTTTAATTTTATTTTAGGAACTTCTAAAAAATATGCTATAAATCTTTTTCATTAAATTTAAAAACAATTGCTAAAAAATTCGTTAACATCATAGAGCTATATCGTTTACACGTGAAAATATTACTTTTATGCGAAAATGTTTATTTTCACAAAATTTTGATAAACGATCTCGTATCTCGTATCTCGATTCGGATTTCGATTTCGAGAATGATCTTTATCTCATTTTCTCGTTCTATGAGAACGCGCACGGAATAAGCCACGAGAGTTTGGACCAACCAGAGAGCGGCTCGAAACGAGCGCCCAGCGGGGTTAACGAGACTAATTACAATTTAATATTAATTTACCAATTAGCGGGTTGCCACCTCCGCGGGGCGCGCGACGCCGCGTGTTCTACCGGGGCGCAAAACACAGGCGCTTGGTCGAGCGTTAGTGATAAAAAGTCAAAACAATGATTATTATTACAAAGAATAGTAAAAAGAAGGCCGATTATACGATGTATAAATACGTTATATATAAACATATATACATACACATGCGTCTTTTATATTATGTAATATATGTATATAAAAGACGTAATTACGTATATGTATATTGACTAAGAAGATAGTAGGAAGGAACAAATAAACGTATATATATATAAATAGAAAGAATAATCAAATATATACAGCACTAATGTAATTACTTCTTGCCAACAAGTTAGGCAGAAAATACAAGGTTTGTCAATAATAAATAAATAGGGAATGGGTCGCAAATGTAGATCGAGGAGTATTCTCGGAGAGATCTATAACTATATATATATAATATATATATATATATATAATATATAAATATATTTATATATATTTATATATTATTATATGTATATATAAAGGGCAGGAGGGTTGGGGGTTGAGTGAGAAAATACATAAAGGAAAGATATACACAAATAGAGGTTAGCTACAAGTTTTAAACGACTACTTTATTGGCAATTTTTCTAGGCATCAACCTATACTATTTTTACGTTACGTTTTCGTTCTGTGTTGTTGTTCTTGGCGTGCGCCATCGAGCGTATCCTTGCGTTAATATCGTATATTTTTCTGCCTTGTGTGTAGGTGTGGATATATGCGTGTATAGATATATATATATATATATATATATTTATGTATTTGTGTGTTTTGTTGGTACACGCGTGTTCATCGCGCGCGTGCTTTAACGCGACGTGAAAATCGTCGGCGAATGATGCGTCAACGTTTTCCTTTTTCCTGCAAAACGAGACAATGCGTCGCAAAAAAAAGTCAAAACAAGAGAATCAAGTAAAGCGAAAAAAGAAACGAGGGCAAACAAAATAGGAACGCGAATAAATCGGAGAAATTGAACGTCGCGTTTACATCTGCTTCCATATGCGTTGCTAGCGAATAAAAATCGATCTAGAATTAAAAAAGAAGGGGAGGAAAAAAAAGAAAAAAGTAGAAAAAAAAGAGAAAAATCGAGACGATAACGTAAAAGTAAAGGTCTTCTCAAATTTCGAATCGCGACCCCCAGCGGAAGGGCAGAGAGGGGAGGAAAAAGGACGCGAGCGCGAGTCGTGTGCGAGCCCCTGTCATCGATCGTAACTTCTCCCTTCCCCCTTTCGTGGTGACTTTACATGGCGAATCACCCTCTCGCGCTCACCCTTCGGATTTTCCGCGGCGCTTCTTTTTTTTCCTCTCTTCTCTTCTTTTCAGGAAGCAATCGGCGATCAAATCGGTTACGCGCGTCGCGGCGCGTTTATTAATAGGCCTCGGCCTAACAATTATCTCTTTTATGGCACGTACGTGACTGGCACACTGTAGAAATGTAACAACGAATAACGAGGAAAGAACAAAAAAAGAAAAAAAGAAAAAAAAAAAAAAAAAAAAAAAAAAAAGAA